CCCCGGGGCGCCGGCCCCCCCCGCCGGCCCCGGCCCGCGCCTGGCTTTCAGCACCGCGGACAGCGGCGTCGGCATGAGCGGGCTGAACCCAGGTCCCGCTGTGCCCATGAAGGACCACGACGCCATCAAGCTCTTCGTGGGGCAGATCCCGCGGGGCTTGGACGAGCAGGATCTCAAGCCGCTGTTCGAGGAGTTCGGCCGCATCTACGAGCTGACGGTGCTGAAGGACCGGCTCACCGGCCTCCACAAAGGTGCGCGGGGTCAGCCCAGCCCAGCCCAACCCAGCCCCAATCCAATTAGAGCGCAGCACAACCCAACCCCGGCCCCAAACGCAGGCCCAACCCCAGCCCTACCTAGAGCCAGCCCGACTCCAGTTCAGTACTTGCCCCACCTCAGCTCTGTCTCGTCCCCAGGTCACAGAGCCCCAGACCCAGAATTTCCTCCTCCTGAGCATCACTCCAATTCCCTAACAGGTTCTTCACTCTAACCTCCAAATCCCTAGTCACTTCTCACATCCCAACTACCCCCATCTCCCAGCTGGACCTCTCCACCATCCCTCCCATCAGACACCCCAAACCCTGGAATTTGGAAACTTATTCTACCTCCCAGTTCTAGAGTACCCGATCTCCTGACCCCTGGACCCACCATGTATTTCCAGAGTCCTCTGGTGCCTCCCCACTCAGGCCTAACCACTGATACACTTCTTGGATTTGCACCCCTCTTTCTGGCCTCCAACCCTAACCAACCCCCAAAGCTTCCATTTAACTCTTGTGTCTGATAGCTTTAAACATCTCTTGTACCCAAATTCTCTTTTCCTTCAGAGTTCAAACCTGTCTAATTTACACAGTCTAATTCACCTCCCAGGAGACTCTCAAAGAGACAAATGCCCTCACATTTGACAATTGCATATATTTGATATTGCATACATTTTTCCAGAACCCAACACGCTTTACCTCTTTTGATCTGAATCCAGAATCTCAACCCCAGCTGGAAACATCCACCTTCCTGTGTCCCCTTCATCTTAGGCTTTCCCTTACACAAATACACTTTTTTCTTCCCTCATCCTCACTCCTATGCTTCTCTACTCCCTCTCAATCCTCCTGATGGCCTCCTGTTTTCCTTTCTTTGCTGGCTGGTCCCAGACCAGAGCACTCTCTGGGTGGGGTCAGTCTAATGAGGGAGATGGAGATGGGGACCCTTCTCTCTGCCCTTCTTAGGATGACAGAGGCACCATGGTCCTGTCCAGCCACACCCCTTTCTTCCTGTAGAGAAGGGAGGAGACTTGTTTACATGCAGAAAAGTCTGTCCAGGCTGGGCTGGAATAACAGAGTCAGAATCATATAATAATTTGAGGAGTAACGTCCTTATTTCCCCACTGGGAAATAATGTGACTTAAGGATTTTGGTGGGGGAAGGGTCACCAACTATCCTCCACAGTCTTCCTATGAGAAAAGTGACAGGTCTTACAGGGAAGGCTCATTCCGAAGGCTAGTGAGCTAGCATCAGACTACTACCTCTTTCCAACCAGAGACCCCAGAGCATTCCTTGGCATGCTAAGGTAGGAGACTTTGATAAAATGTCCATGAAAGACCTAGGTCATTTGAGTAGGGGTACATTTTCCACCCTTTAGGGTGAGGTTATTTTAAAATGCCACAAGGACAAGTTCACATCATCCAGACTCATTATAATTCAGTCCAACTGCCTGTCTATCTTCCTTCCCATTACTTATGGCACCTTTTTCTAGACATTGAATTCAGTGGGTAAGCATAAAACTAATCTTTGCAGGTGATCTGTAAAATAAAGAAAGTCTGTGGAATAACTGCAATTCTTACTTAAACACTCAAATGCTCAGAGTCTCTGAACTATTCCTCATTTTCTGTTCCTCCACATACTCATCTGTCTCTTAAGCCATGCTTCTCTGTATTTCTATCTTTCCATTCCTCTGCCTTTTAACCCAAGCAATCTACATGGTTCTTTGTGGTAGCACCTGGGCTCTTAAGCCTTTCATAAAGCCCCTTCCAGTCTGAGGTTCAATGTTACAGCTCACTGGCAGAACTGGTAAGTATGAGACCCAGAGTTAGATGATTTAGTCTCCCAAACAGTCTACACCTTTCCAAGGAAAGTGTGGCCTTGTGAAATAGAGGCAACTTGGAGGGTCTCTAAATCAACATCCCAACTCTCTTCCCAGCAGCCATGATGTCTAAATTCTAGAGAGACTCATTTTCACTTTGATGGCTGAGTATTGAGGGAGACAAACACCATGCTTTGAAAGCAACCATAGCCTGGAATTCAAAGATCCCAAACCCTGGCCTGTGACTGACACAATCTCTGGCTTCAGTTACCTTACTGACATGAGAAGACTGTATCTAAGAGTCCCCATTAAACAGTAGGCAATCCATCCATCTTAAGGAGGCATCTCTGTAGAAGATGCCACTGAAAAAAAATAAGAAAGAAAACATTTCCCATTTGCTTTTCTAATCAGCTGTTTGAATGGAAACCTACAGCCAGCTCCTAATGGCTTCCCACATGCATGCTCCCTTCCCTTGGTCCTTCTCCTTCCTCTACTCAAACGGTTTGTTTTGAAAATACAAATCTTATCATGCCACAACCCTAGTGAAAACCCTTTAGTGGCTCTCTATTGCTCTTTGGAAAGAATAAAAATTTACTGAGATCTCTAAGGCTGTGTATAACCCAATCCCTGCATACCTCACTAGCCACTCTGCTTGAACTCCCAAGTCTTCACCCATACATATTGGTTTTCTATCCATTTCTCCAACACACCACATTTTGGCTTGGTTTTCATTCCTCCCACCTGAAATAATCACACTCCTCTTCCCACCTGCTTCTAAAGGACTCACTATTCCTGTTCTTGAAAACTCAATGTCTTCCATTTTATCATCATCATTATTTGCTGGGTTTTGAACCTAAAGTCCCATATATGCTAGGCAAGAACTCTACCACTGAGTTACATCCTTGCTCTCAGTGTCTTCTTGGAGACAGTCCTCAACCCTTGGAGACATACTTAGGTGCTCCTCATGACATCCAATCTCCAAGAACGCCTCTCCATCTCTAACCCATCATAATGGCCAACCAAATAAGTACATATTGGATATTTTCTGGATGAATGAGATCTCAGTGAATATTGGAAAGGAAGACACTTACTTTAGTGTTTTCTAGAAGACTTCAGATTTTGAAGCTGAACACAGTGGGATAGCAGGCCCTACGCTAGATTCATTCCTTGCCCCAGTAACTAGGCTTCTCTTAGAGGAGTCCAAGTTGGGTCACAAATAAACCTTTAAGGGCCCTGTCTTGATAGACCAAGGACCTTGGATAGGAATAGGGAGTTTCTGGAATCTCCTCCTTACAGGAAGCCCTTAACCTGAACCAAGCCTCAAATCAAATCCATTGCCCCCACTTCAAACTTAGGAAGGGAAGAGCTGAGAAGTAGTTGGCCCTAAACCCTTAATCTTCCTCATTTTCGTTCTGCCACTTGGATCTGGATTGGGAAGGAATTGAGGCCAACCCTTGGAGACTATGAGTCTACATCCCAAATAGATGTGCATTGTGTGGGCAGAGTTCTTCACTGAAGAAGGCAAAGCCACTAAGGGTGGTTTCGCCCTGACAGGACTTATGGATGGGCGGGGGAGGGAAGCTGTGGAATTGGATGAGCACATGGCTGGATGTATGGGTACAGATGTTTCTTGGACAGAAGGCCAGGAGAAAAAGAGCGAGAAAGCCAGAGCTTTGGGATATAGGTCCCAAAGCACATGAAGCCTCTCCCATCACAGAACACTTCCCAGGGCAGTATTCATGTTTACAGGATAGTGGCCCTAAGTTTGTTGACTTATTTGAATCTTACCAAGAAGAATGTTAAGGTGTTTCAGAAAACTCCCTGAGCCCAGCTCTTATTCCTCAGGCTGTGCCTTCCTCACCTACTGCGCCCGGGACTCTGCCCTCAAGGCCCAGAGTGCACTGCATGAACAGAAGACCCTGCCAGGGGTAAGTCAAACAAGGATGAGGGCAGGTTGGGTGGGAATTACCTCAGGCTTGGGACAATGCTCTGAATGCCTGCCAAAGCAGCATAAAGGGTTAAGTTGACACTAGCAATTAGAACAGTGTCATCTACCCTGGAAAGGGTTTACATGTTCCTTGAACAACTCAAGCCCCATATTACACTCAGTCTTCTGGGCAAGTGTTCCAACCCGTTTTTTTTAGAAGAGATATCAGTGATGTGAGCTAAGTTAGAAATTTCCACTTTGGCTAAAATCGTGGTTTCAGGTGTTACTTGTCACTACATGTGAGTATGTATGTAGTATTATGGGAGAGGCTCTGCTGAGTCAGTATCTGTCTTCTCCAATCTTTTGGTCCTAGATGGTGCTTTCCTGTGGTCGTCTTCCTGTAATATGTTTGGGGTACCTTGACTCACCAAAATAGTCTTCTCTCTATATTACAAAACATAGCTAGAGTTAAAAGAGACTTCTTGGTTTTATAGACACCCAGGATTATATGACCCGGTCTTAACTAATGATGGCCACAAACAAAAGAAAATTGGAATCTACCATCCATGTGGTAATGACAATTAGGATCTAGCATGGGTTGCCAAGAGTAAAACATACTTCCCAGCTTCATTTTCTCCTACCTGAGGACTGTTGTGTCTGGAAAAAGAACAAGATTCAAATATCATGGGTAGGCAAAGTCTGGGACAATATCCATTTTACAATTAAGGTCCTTGGCTTACTAGAAAGAGACTGGATAGAATAAAGGCACACAGACACTAAATATGTCATGAGATATGTTCAAAGGAATTGCATATATATATATATATATATGCAATGTATATATATATGGAAATAAAAGAATTCAATAGGATTTTAATATGAACACATCATAACATGATAATTAAAAATACTTGGTTTCACATCTTTTAGACTTGGATTTAAGTCTCACCTTTGTCACTTACCAGTTCTGTTTCCTTCCACTCACACTTTAGTTTACTCATCTGTAGGGCATGGGTTGTACTTGCAGCTCCTTGGGCTGTAGTAAGAAAGTCCCAGTAAATGGGACTGTTGCCTTAAGATCCTGACAAAGGACTTGATTTTCTGTAGATGGTCCCAGACGGCAAGAGCAAGATCAATGAGAGTAAGAAACGGGTACCCATTTCAGCTTTGTTCTATGAAATGGAGCTTTCCAGTCATTCACCAACTCTGTGACTCTGAGTGGGTTTAAAACCTGAGTTATTCTGGGCATAGTTTTAATCCTAGCACTTCAAAGGCAGAGGCAGGCAGAGCTATGAGTTTGAGACCAACCTGATCTGTATAGTGGGTTCCAGGACAACCAGAGCTATATAGTGAGACCCTGTCTCAAAAGATAAGATAAAACTTGAGTTTCTTCACTATAAGACTGAAGTCAAGCCGGGCAGTGGTGGCTTTAGTCCCAGCACTCAGGAGGTAGAAGTAGAGGGATCTCCAGGAGTTCAAGGCCAGTTTGGTCTACAGAGTGAGTGCCAGGACAGCTAGAGCTACACAGAGAGACCCTAGCTCAGAAAACAACAACAAAAAGAAACAACAAAACAAAACAAAAAGACTGAGTTCGTGGGCAGATGGGCTAAGTCATGTGAAGTACAGAGCACAGCAGAAAGTAAGCCTGCAGCCTGGCTTAGCTGGTGGTGGTAATAGCAGTAATTGAAATGGTAGCGTTAGTAGGAGCAGTTATAGAAAGCGTCATTCATCTAACCATGGGAGCAAACGATTCCTGCTGCTAGCATAGGCATCGAGCAAGCTGGAACACCCATGCAGGAAACTGTGGTAAAAATTTCGGAGTTGAAAGAAACAGGTGGGTATGAATCTGATGGGCCCACTGGAGAAGAGGGGCAGGGAGTGGGGGTGGGGCAAGAGAGTCTTGGCCAGGCTAAGGGCAGGATCCTACAGAGGGCTGCAGTTGAAGGGGAAACAGTGGGAGATTTGGAGATTTGGACTTTACCTGGAAAGCCCTGGGAAAATTAATATGGGCTGGGGAGGAAAAGCTATTGAAGAAGTGATGAACAGTACCTGTGGGGTTTTATAAGAACGGTACTCCTTGGAAAAGGACAGTGAAGCCCTAGACCTGGAAGAATTCTAAGGGAGAAAAGCAAAATAGTAATAACCATCGACAGTTATCAGCACCAATATTCATGGCATTGTATGTGTTCCAAGTTATTTCATCCTTTTTGAAGAAGGTATTGTTATTGGATCCCCCTTCCCCATCTTACAGATGAGGAGACTGAGTCCTACATTGACCTGTTCACCTGTGAGAAACTCTGGTCATTGAACCCTCTTAGTCTATTGACTTAATTGCTCCACTATTACATGAGCTAACTTGGTAGCAGATGGGGCTTAGTTGCTGAATAGTATGGCAACTGAGGATTTGTGCCTTCTTCCACCCTTCCATCTGCAGACCTCCAGTGTGGCCTGGCTTCCTCTGTTACTGCCAGGATTGGCGTTACTCACCCTTCTCAACTTAACAAAGTGAAAATTAATATTTAATTATCCTCTTAAATGAAAATCAATGGCACTGTTGGCTAGCCCCGGCAACATCCATGCCATCAATCTTTTTCCGAGCTTGCCAGGGGGCAGCAGCAACTTTCACCAGAGAGGAACAGGCGCCCAGCCTTCTGTAGGCACCGGGTCCTGGGTGTAGCTGCCATCTGCTGGAGAAACAGGGATAAGACTTCTGTCAGCACTTTTGCTGGCAGGACTGTAAAGGGAATGAAGCCTGTAAAGGCTGGATGAACCCCCCCCCCCCCCAAGAAAGCCTGAAACTTGATGGGAAATAGCACAGTTTGTTCTGGAGTGAGGCCTTCTCTCAGATCCTCTCCATTTACCCACTGCCAGTCTCTGCCACGTATTTGAAGCTGAAAACTTCCTTCAAATTGCAGCCATCTGCTGCCTGGCTTCTAATTCCTGAAGCCTCTTCCTGAGGAAGCTACTGCTGTTTCTTTGAGCCTCATTCTAGTTCTAGAATCCACCTGAAGAGAATGAGGGCAACTCCATTCCCGACTCTGGGATTAGGAGGGCGTCCCTATCTCCCTGCCCATGACCTCCCTTCTTTGGAGGAACCTGCCCCTCCAGACACTAAATAGGAGGCAAATACAACCAAGTAGAGGAATGTATTTGCTTGCACAAGTTATGTCCTGTGCAAAACAGCTTGGGAGGGGAGAAAATAAAAGTTCAATCTTAGCCGGGCGTTGGTGGTGCACGCCTTTAATCCCAGCACTCGGGAGGCAGAGGCAGGTGGATCTCTGTGAGTTCGAGGCTAGCCTGGTCTCCAGAGCAAGTGCCAGAATAGGCTCCAAAGCTACACAGAGAAACCCTGTCTCGAAAAACAAAAACAAAAAAATTCAATCCTACTACATTCTATGACCAAGAAGTTATATCCCACTACATTGTATAGATTAAGCCATGTCCTCAAGACATGCCTGGCTCAGAAGTAATTCATTGCACTCTGTTGGAGTTACATCTGGGCCTGTAAAAGAGGCCTCAGGAGTGGGGAGAAAGGAGGTGCTACCAGATGCTTTCTTCATATCTGAGGGTCTGAAAACCTAAAAGCCAAAGGCCACTTCTGAAATTCTGAGGATAATATGAGAACTGACAGGAGGGTGTCTCCCAGCAATGATGGTCATGGCTGTGAGTGGGTGGGGAGTACTGTGCGTGTTGGGTAGAGGAGACAGGACACACGAGTTCTGACAGCCAGTTATGAGTAGATTAAAGAAGAGATATGGATGAAGTTTTGAAAATTACTCTGGCTACAGTGTGAAGACTGAACGGAAGAGGGAGCAATAGTGGAGGCAAGATGGCCCTATAGGACAATGTCGCTTCTGCATTAGCCAATAGTGAAGCAGGCTACTCCAGAGCTGGGGTGATGCAGGAATGGAGAGGAAATGATGGGTTTATGAAATGCACATGGACTCTAAAGCTCATGGGATTTGATAGTGAGCTGGGTTAGAAGAAGTGTGGTAAACAAGCAGCACTTGGGAGGCAGAGGCAGGTGGATGTCTGTGAGTTCGGGGCCACCCTGGTCTACAGAGTAAGTTCCAGGACAGCCAGAGTACACAAAGAAACCCTGTCTCAAAAACCTAAAAAAAAAATGAAGAAGTGTTAGAACCAAGTCCTTAAAACCATGCTGTTGATGTTTGCCATACTAGCCTTTGACCCTCAAGACACTTCTCCTAGACTCACCAGCAGTCCTTCTCAGGGGAGTGCTGATAAAACCCCTTCCTGTGGGAAGGGGATGCTGCATGAGAGATAGAAGTCAGGACAGGGTGATGGATAGCCCAAAGACAGGTGTTTTAGACAAGTCTATCTGAGAAGTGGGATAGACCTTGCTTCCCTTCTACTTACAGATCAAGAGAATAGGGCTTTGTACAGGTCTGGTTGCCTCTAACCTTCCACACCCCACTTCCTGGAGTACGATGTTCTCCTTTCTCTGATATTCACCTAGGTTTCTCCTTCAGGGCCCTGACAAAGACATGGGCTTGGGAAACTTTTGGGGGAACAGGTGATCGGTCAAGATGAAGGCTCACCTGCAATCTCACAAGTTTGTGGTTCAAGAATCAATGCCCCCATTTCCTTCCAGACCCTTCCCCTGCTTATGTGTTGCCCAGTAGCTCTCATGAGCAGCTTTCTCCTCCAGCCATGAGTAGCATGCCAAAACCTCAGGTGTTCCTCATAATCCCTGCCTGTGGAGTTGAGTCTCAGAGCCAGGGAAGCAATGTTCTCCCAATTCCTGAGCTGTAAACCCAAGAATCAGTCCACATGCCCTCCTTTGCCTCAGCCCCACCCTCAGCAGAACTACAGTTTAGTTCATTTGTCCCAAGCGTCTTTTGCGTCTGTCCATTTCCTTCTACAATGGTGAGAGTTACTGAATTCTCACCTCCCACCGGCATCATTGACTTCCTGCCTCTTCTCACTCCCTTCCCAACCCTCTCTCTGCACTGTGACAACTTATGAGATACTTTCCAAGACTGAAAAGACCAGATCATCACCTGTCCTCCATTTAAAGTCCCTCTCTGGATCCCTATAGCATTTGAAATATATCCATGTCAAAAATCCTTGACATTTTTTTTTTAACGGCCTGCTCTGATCTGGCCCCTGCCTGCCTTCTAGTTTCACCCCCTCTTACCAAAACAAAATAAAAACAAAAGCAAGAATTTAAAAAGTCAAAAGACGGGCTGGAGAGATGGCTCAGAGGTTAAGAGCCCCTGCTGCTCTTCCAGAGGTCCTGAGTTCAATTCCCAGCAACCACATGGTGGCTCACAACCATCCATTATGAGATCAGGTGCCCTCTTCTGGTGTGCAGATATACATGGAAGCAGAATGTTGTATACATAATAAATAAAAAGTATTTTAAAAAAAAGTCAAAAGACACACAGTGTCACACAAAAAGACAAACACAACCTATCACATCTAGTATATCTACTAAGATCTGACTTTTGTTGTTTTCGCCATAAACCCTCAAGCATAGGACCATGATTCCCCCTTTTATGGGTGGGGATACTGAGGCTCAAAGACCTTAGAGAAGTTGCCAGTGATGTAACCAGGATTGAAGTTCACATCTGTCTCATGAGCAGTCTGTCTTCAGGAGCCGGAGCCCTTGCTTTTTCAGGCTTGATGCTCTCTCTGTGTCTAGTCTAGCCATCTAGAATGCTCTGCTGCGTGCCCTGCCTCTCCCATTATCTCCATCTGCTCTGACCTACAAGGCCCAGGTCAAACACTGTTTCATCATGGATCGTTTCCTGTGTCAGCCTCCTCAGCTGCAGCTAGCCTCACTAACACTTCTTCACCCTGCTTTGTCTCCTCGTTCCTCTGTGTCTCGTTATTTGTGTTCATGTGTTAAGAATGGAATTGAAGGCTGGAGATATGGTTCAGTCAGTAAAGTGCTCACTGTGCAAGCATGGGGACCTGAATTTGCTCCCTCAGAATCCATATACAAAGTCAATGGCAATGATCCATTCCTGTAATCCCATGATTGTAGGAAATCCCCATGTTTGCTGGCCAGCCAGTCTAGCTGAATCACAGAACTCCAGGTTCAGTAATAGACCCAGTCTGAAAAAAAAATGAGAGGGACTCTTGGTTAAGAGCACTGGATGTTCTTCCAGAAGACCTAGACTTGATTCCCAGCATCAACATGGAAGCTTAGAGCCAACTGTAACTACAGTTTCAGGGGATTCAATACTCTCTTCTAGTTTCTGTGTGTACACATGATGCACAGATGTACATGCAGACAAAACATCCATACACATAAAATAAAAATAAGTCTTTTTATAGAGTGAGAAAGAGACCTGATATCAGCTATGAACCCCCACATACACACACAGGTATACATGCATGTACAAGCATGCTCAGTGGACATGAGCTGGGGGTGATGATACCTATCACCCAGCAGTCAGGAGGCTGAGGCAGGAGGATCATGAGTTTGTGGCATGACAGCTTAGGCTATCAGCAAGTTCTAGGACAGCCTGAGCTACATAGTGAAACTCTCTTAAAAGCAAAACAACAAACAAATAAAAAAGAACAAGCAGTTGAGCAGTAGGATGCAAAAATCAGGAGCTTTACCACCAGGCAGACCGATGAATCTCAGAGCACCCACAATGTGCTCCTGGACAAATAAACTCCTCTCCCTGGGCCTCAGCTTTCTCATCCATAATTTGGAGACAGTGGACTCCTGAAGTGGTTAGAAAGATATGGAGACAAATAAATAGTCCCAGGGGAAGGTTTAGCATCCAGTGGGCTCTCAGAAAATGGGGACCTCATCTTCTCTGTGAGCCTATGAGGGAAGTCTCCATCTACGTATCACTGGGGTTCATTACAGAGTTCAAGAAAGGTTGGCAGCATGCCCAACTGGCAGAAGGTGTAGACCTTGAGCCTCTAAGGACTGGACCCTGGTAGGCCCATGCAGGAATTCATATGTACCACCCAATATCCACTTTCCATCGAAAGGTCAGGTGGTTGGGAGGAGGGAAAGGATCATCCCTCCAGAGCACCAATGAGCACCATCTCCCAGGAAACCCAGCCAGGAGCTACCATGGAAACCGCTGCTGTCACATGCGCTTGTCACTCTCGGCTCCAGAGAAAGATCCTCAGGATCTATTTAAGAACTAATAAAATAATGATGGTTTTGTTCACTCTCACTGACCCCCTAGCTCAGGCTTCAGCCCTTCTCCTTTCTACCAGGCTCTCCTTGCTCCCCCAGACCTGCTTTCTGCCCCCACCCCTTCCTTTCCTTTGCATCCCCACCAGTAATTCTCTTTCTTTGCCCTTTTCTAGGTCTGTCTCTTACTTTCTCCCATAATTTCTGTCTTGCTGTGTTTCTCCATCACTCCCCATGTCTCTGCTCTCCATAGCTCTGTCTCTTGGTTTCTCCTCCACACTCACAGGTGGCCATGCCTAGGGACTGGTCCTGTCCTCCTGGTCCCTGGTCCAGGCCAGTCCAGACCTGTCCAGCTCGCCCTGATCTGCTTGGATTGATCTGTCATCCCCTCTAGACTACAACCTGAGTCCTGTCGGTGTCTCGGCCCCCACCCACAGCCTGGTACACTGCAGGTGCTCTACTACCAGAGGGTGGGTGTGTCAGAGCCTTGGGTGGGAGGGGGAATTACAATGGTTTAGGCTTGGCCTGTTTTCCTTTCTTTTTTTATTTTTTTAAAATGAGTCTCCCTCACCCCTCCCACCCCAAAATTTGATCCAAAGAAATTGCTCAGCTGTGACTGCCAGGGTGTTACCATGGTTACTGGGTAGCACTTGTGGCTATGGTAACAGGAAGCTGCCTGTTGTCTCGGCAACGAGCACATTGGAAAGGATGGAGTGGCCCCTGATTGGTGCAGAAGCAGTACGTTTCCTGAGGGGAGGGGGTCAGATCATCACCTTCTCAGGCCAGATGGGCATCAGTTACCCCTTCCTCCAGGAACAGGAAGGCCGCTGTTCCTTTCTCCCGGCACTCAGCTGTCTGCCCCCAACATCAATCCCTCACATCCCACGCACCCAGCTCTTGGCAGTTTACCAAGACCTTCTGCACCCCCATTACCTCATGTGATCCCCACAACACCTATGAGAGGAAGGTGAGATGGGGATTCAATCATGAATTCACTTAGGGTGGTTGGGGGATGGGAAGGTGGGGTATATATTGACTCACCTAGGAGTTCTTTCAGGTTATACAGTCCCCCACCTGAATAATCTGATATATGGTTCCCAGGTGATTTTTTTTTAGCCACTTCTGATCAGGGAACCCCTGAATTAAAAGGTGAAGCTGGCTGGAGGAGGGAAGGGTTGGAGGGAAAAGTTAAGTTGCTTTCTAGGTTTATAAGCTGAGTGATGGAGGATTGAGTTTGGGTGAAAAGATGAGCTCGGATTCTGGTGTGTTGAGTGGGAAGTGCCAGTGGGCCTTTCTAGCCAGGATGCCCAGCGAGCAGCTGGAAAACATGGGTCTGAGGCTCAGGAGAGAGTGTGGGCTGGAGACGCAGAGGTCTGAGTCATCCCTGTGTGGATAGCTGCTGGGGCTGTGGGTGTGGGTGAAGTGATCCAAGAAGAATTGGAAGACAGAGATGAGCAGGAAGAAAAATGGTGCCTAGAGAACCCTAGCGCTGTCAGGGAAAGAGGCACCCAGGAGGGATGAAGGGATGAGTGCAGAGACTATCATGGCACAGATAGTTGGGAATGTTTTCCCTGATTAGTTAACTGAATTTGAGAGATAGTGGCTTACTTAAAATCATATGACCAAGAAATGGCAGAGTTAGGGGTATATAGCACTAAGTCTGAGTCCCAGACTGTTTAATCTAAATAACATACAGCTATATTCACAGTTTTAGACATAAATCACAAGTGTGCTAGAGCAATTACACCCTCCCACCCAATTCCTCTCACTCAAAGCTTTTACGCAAGTTCAGGAGCCTGAGAAACAAGCACCACATGGAGTTACCCTGAGTCCAAGACAGAAGAATTTCTTTGGCCATCGCTTCCATTCTATGTTTCCCACGGAGTTTCCCACCATCCACTCCTTCAGGTTCCAGCACTTTCTAAACACCTGGGATTAAGGAAACAATCTTGGAGAGAATCTATAATCCCAATGGGAGTGGAGGGGTGCAGAGTGCAAAGAGGGCTGGGACTCAGTGTCTGAGGAGCTCAGTGGGAAGAATGAGGCCTTGGGACCAGACAGTCATTGCTAAAAGGGTGTGTTGGTCCCATGTCTTTCAGATGAATCGTCCGATCCAAGTGAAGCCTGCTGCCAGTGAGGGCCGAGGAGGTAACTTCCCTGTCTGACAAACCTGAGCGTGGTACCTGAGTAGAGGATGGGTGGGCCCACTTCTGGAGTTAGTCCTCTGCCAGGGCTTATGACTAAACCCAGCCCAGATCAGTGGAGTCTGGAATTGTGTGTCTCAAGAAGTAGTTCAGCCATCCCAACTCAAACTGAGAAGGGAGGGTTCTAGAGAGCTCAGACCCAGAAAGGGCAGAGGCAGAGGAAGGGAGCTCTTGCTACTTTACTCCTGGAGAATGGTCATTACTGCCTTGCCAGGCAGAATTTACAGGTGCATATAAAGAAGCAAGCTGGAGTTATTCTTTTACAGATTCCTCTGGGTCCACAGAAGGGGCCACTCATTCCTTTCCTGTCATGGCCTGATTAATCACCATAAAAGATGAGCTGGCACAACAAGTATTGTGAGCCATAGTAAGGAACTTAGCTGTGTTCTAAGGCTCACAGAAGTCTTTAGACATCCTTAGCTGGTAGAGAGACTGCTGCTTCTTAAGAAGAGTGATGAGGAGCTCTCATAGCCATGTTCTGACCAGCTTCCCTGCCAGAAAGGCAGTGTTTTCTTCTTGAATCAGTACTTGGTATTTTTCTTGCTTTTGAGTTTTAGATTATTCCAGGGTATCTCCTTGGTGTCTGCTAGCTCTCCCTCTCTGATAACTTTCTCTGTCTATCTGACCCAAGATCAGCTATACCTTTGTTATGTGAGAGTCTTAAGAATTAGGAGAGAATGGAACTCAGTTGATAGAGACATGTATTGACACTCTACTAATTCCTTCACACCTTTTCTTGATTTCTTATTGACATTCACTGGGAGTTTTGGTGGCATCGGGGTTCTGTTTGATCCCAATAAAAATTCCTTCCTTCCTTTAGATTCTCTGATATTTGTCTTTGATTCATAATCTCTAGTCAAGATATTATCAGTCCTACATTGCCTTGGAGAAATATGTCTAAGTTCCTTTCTCTTCCCATGAATGTCCTCCTTTTTCATCTCAGTGTTTCCAGACAGGCTTTTCTGATGTTCCAATTGCATACAAAACATATTCAAAAATCTCTTCTTGTTGGGAAGCTCTGTTAGGGATTGAGGCCATTGTTGGCCATGTTCTAAACCCTACCCAGCCCACATACATGACATAGTCCCTCAAAAAAGTTACCTATGAGTAAATGAGTGAGCTGAGAAAAAAAATAGAATGAACTGTATAATTCTTCAACTATGCAACCAATATTTCTAGGAATACCAAAATCTGGCAGACATGGTCCCATGGAGTCCCCAGATTATGAGGGGACAGGTGGGAAAACAAACAAGGGCTCACTGTTCAGTGTGAATGTGTTTCTCAAGGAAAAGTCTAGGATGAGCCTGTGGGGACACAAATAAGGGGCAGCTAACCTATGCTAGGAAGTCAAAGTGAGCTCCCAAAGTGACCTCAAAGGGTAACAGAAAGTAGTCAGACAGAGAAAGGAGGATAGAGGAAGTATATTCCTCAGGCAGAGGGACTGACATGTTCTGAGACCCCAGAACTCAGAAGGACATGGTACAACTTGGAATCTTGCTTGGAACTGGTCCATGTGCTGTGATACTCAGGATACCTCATGTCCCATCAGAACTCAGCAGTTGGCTGCTCAGAAGGTGCCTCCATGACAGTAACACTTCTGCTGGCCTCCTGGCATCAGCTTGAGTATTCACATTTTCTTCCTCCTTTTTTAGCTGTACAGAATTTGCAAGTGTCACATCACTGACAAATTCTATACATGAAGCATCTCACCTGTCCACCCTTTCATGTTCAGAGTAGTTCAGGGACAGGACAAGAAGTCTGCCTGAAAGGAGGGCTGCTTACCAGCTGAATTTATTACTTCAGGAGTGTTGTGTTATACAGACTTTTCTTGACAAGTGATGGCTTTCAAAGACTATGCATTCTGGGCACAACATTGAATAATCCTTGCAAATGCGCACGACTAGATTTCTCAGTGCCTCCTTGCTACATATTCAGGAGAGGAGTAAATGTAGGAAGTCTTGCAAAAACAACTGAGCCTTAAGCCAGGTGTTGGTGGTGCACACCTTTAATCCCAGCACTCAGGAGGCAGAGGCAGGAGGATCTCTGTGAGTTTGAGACCAGCCTGGTCTACAAGAGCTAGTTCCAGGACAGCCTCCAAAGCCACAGAGAAACCCTGTCTCGGAAAAAAAAAAAAAAAAACAAAAAACAAAAAACAAAAAAACTGAGCCGTTGTCATTTATAAATACTGTATTTACTGGCTGACCTGTGTTCTATAATCATGAGACTAATCAAAATGAGTTGTTTTTCTTCAGGGCTATCACATATCTCTTCTAGATTAAAGAAATGATTTGTGTGTGTGTGTGTGTGTATGTATGTATGTATGTATGTATGTATGTATGTATGTATGTATGTATGTGTGCCTGCAGAAGCCAGAAATGGGCATTGGATCCCTTGGAGCTTGAGTTGTAGGTGTTTGTGAGTTGCTCAGGATGGGTTCTAGGACCTGCCTTGTGGGTCTCTGATAAAGCAATAAGCCCTCGTAATAGCCGAGCCATCTTCTCAGCACCCCCTTATAGAGTTTGATTGCTGTCTAACATGTGAGAAGCTCAATTTTATTGTTTTTGTTTGTTTGTTTTTGAGACCAGGTCTCACTGTGTAGCTTTGGCTGTCTTTGTACTCAAAGATCCACCTGCTTCTGCCTCCCAAGTGCTGGTATTAAAGGTATGCACCACCACACCTGTCTGAGAAGCTCATGTTTTTTTTTTTTTTTTGTATGTGTTTTTGTTTTTGTTTTTTGTTTTTTCAAGACAGGGTTTCTCTGTGTAGCTTTGGAGCCTATCCTGACACTCGCTCTGGAGACCAGGCTGGCCTCGAACTCACAGAGATCCACCTGCCTCTGCCTCCCGAGTGCTGGGATTAAAGGCGTGCCCACCAACGCCCAGTGAAGCTCATGTTTTTTAAAGATGATTTTTATTAATGTCTTGTCTCTGAAATGTAGTAAACACCAACATGGGACAATCTGTCCCATTAAAGTCTTATTACAGTGATCTCAAACATATTATAAGCCTGATTGCACCTGTTCTTGTATTCCAAACTGGTGAACCTGCATATTTTTATTATTGCTTGAGTTGAAGCCTTTAGTTTACAGCTGATTACTAATAGTTTCTGTGTCTGAAAAGAACACTTGTGTTCCATTTAAAGGATATCAAGGTTGCTGATGCCTGGAATCCCAGAATTTGGGAGACTAAAGTAGGAGAACCGCCATGGGTTTGAGGCCACCATGGGCTAAATAGTAAGTTTCAGGCCAGCTTGGGCTATGATGTGAGACCCTGTTTCAAAACAAAAACCAAACTTTTTTTATAAAGATGTTGGTGCAGGTGTGGTAATTCAACAAGTAAAGACCCTTGTTGTTAAATCTGATGTCCTGAGATCTATCCCTGGTACCTACATGGTAGAAAAGACAAATGACTCTCACATATTATCCTCTTACCTCCACACCCATGCCATGGCATGTGAGCACCCATACACACATGAATAAGTCATATAATGTAACTTACAAAGATATCAAGGCAAATGTAATCTAAAAGTTTCCCATTAATCATTTGGAAGGAATCATTATATGATTTTTTTCTCCTAAAACAGGGGTCAGAAACTAACTTCAGGAACCCCTGAAGGTAACCCTACAACTTAATACAAAATGTACATCATAATTATTAAAGCAGAAGTTACTTCAGCCTTTTGTTAAATGCACTGTGAGAGTACAGATAAACCCATTGGGTTGACTTCTTTGGCACCTGAACCACAGTTCTCCCATCATCCATACAGAAAATAAAATGATCCTTTTAACAAAAACAGTTAATGTTCTGGTTTTGAAGTTTGATGACAATACAATGTACACACTAATGCTCTTTTAGGTGTTACTGGTAGCACTGGATATTTCATGCTTCTGTGGTATGTGTGTGCTGGTGCATATGTGTATGTATATATGTGGAAAGGCATGTGGTATCCAGAGGTCAATCTTGTGTCGTTTCTCAGGAGCTGTCCATCTTGTTTCTTTGAGACAGATTTCTCTGGGACCTGGGGTTCACCCCATTGGGATAGGCTAGCTGGCCAGTGAGTCCCAGGGCTTTTTCCATCTCTGCCTCCCCCATACAGGAATTACAAGTACGTATCACCATGTCCAGCTTCTTACGTGGGTTCTGAGGATTGAATTTGGGTCTTCATGCTTGCAGAGCAAGCACTATACTGGCCAAGCCATTTCCCCAGCCCCAGAACTTGGGATTCCAATGCCTACAGCACAACAATGATAGCAGTATGCAGAATCTGCTTAATGGAGGTGCTAGGATCCTCTTCTTTCATGGCTGTCCCTGAAAGCTTGGGGACACTTTTCTCAAAGATAGGCATCCACACCTTCATAGACTGTATTATTTTAATGTATCCAGTCCAATGAATTCTGCAGCTAAGTTCCATTGTGTTCACAGAGTCCATACCTCGAATACTTTGTATCCAGTAGCATTTATATATTGAAGAGTATACTATTAAAGAAAAAGGAATTGGCTTTCCCAGAATGAAGCCATCTTCTATCAAATGAATAATATTTATTTCTGTGTTGGTCATACATGACATCAAAAATTTTTTTCCTCCAGCACCGGATTTATTTTAAGGTGAGCATCAAAATATTTTCTGAAACTGGATGCAGTGACACATGTGACTAATCCCAGATACTTGGGATTCTGAGGTAAGAGGATCTCTTGAGCTCAAGAGTTTGAGGCTGGCCTTGTCAACATAGTAAGACCCTATCTCAGTAAATAAATGGAGAAAGTTTCCTGGGATAAAATCTCAAGGTTCATGAGTTTCAAAATGGAAAAATATTAACCTCAAATTATCTAAAATCAGAGGTAAGGATCCTAAGTTGATCAAACAATGATTACTACATAAATGGGCATTATTTGTCATTAAGTGTAAGAACCACTATGGATTTTCTTATCTATATTGTCTCTACTT